ACCCTGGGACAACACACTCCTCAGCAAACAAGGTACCTCACCATTCACATGACATGCGGGACTCACAGCAGTAGTCCCTGCATTCAGACAACCCATAGTTGAAAAATCAACCAAAACTCTACATATGTGAAGACTCAAGAACAGTTACAAATGACACAGTCCTGTGGCACACAAATGGGTACAAAGTGATTATAGAATAAATGTCAAAGACATTTAAAAAGCCATAAAAAGGTGGGGCTGGAGAGATGGCTCAGTGGTTAAGAGCACTTCCAGAGGTCCTGAAAGTGCTGCTCTTCCAGAGGTCCTGAGTTCAATTCCCCTCAAACACATGCTGGTGACTCACAGCTGTCTGTAATGATCTGGTGCCCTCTTCTGGCCAGAAGGCATACCATATGCATAATAAATAAATCTTGAAAAAGAAAAAAAGAATTTTTAAAAGCTACAAAAAATTAACGTCAGTGTCACACATATCAGCACATCAGAAAGATGACTCGGACCAGGTGTAGTGGCTCACAATTTTAATCTCAGCACTTGAAAGACAAGAGGCAAGTGGATCTCTGTGAGTTCAAGGTCAGTCTGGTCTATATCATCAGTCCCAGGCCAGCCAGGGCTATATAGTTAGACACTGCCTCAAAAGGGAGAAGGGTGTGATTCAAAAACAGCTAGCAAAATACTAAAATGATTCTACTTCTTTGAGATTTGTGCCATCAATCTCTGTAACAACATTTTGTACAAAACACAATGTAAAATTCCTCTTGCTATATGGCACTAGACTCCTGCTCTCAGCGATCAGGGGATAAATTACAGCAATGAGGCTGTTCACAATCACTGTGTATTATATGAAACAGTGGCTTTTAGACTGTGCCTTGTCCTAGGTGATTCCATTTGACAAAAGCACATTTGGCTCCATTTTGCATGGAAATACAGAGGTGAAATGAGTTTGTGTGTCACTATGCATATAGATCACCACCACCTGTCTAGCACCAACCATAAGGCACAGCCTGATAAATAACTTATTCCTCAAAATAAAAGGGCTCCAGCTATCATAAAAGTGGGAACATATGAACACATGGGTGCATTAAAATCACATCAGAAGGCTGGGGATGTAGCTCACTGGTACAGTGCTTACCTATATGCCAAGGTCCTGAGTTTAATCTGCTGCCTGGCAAAAGAAAAGAAAAACAGAAAAACTAAACCCAGTGACTTATTGAACACAGTAGTCTGATGTACGGCACACTGTCATCTGAATCCTATAAAAAAGGACACATACACTGTGATGGCTCTGCCCATCTGATCTGACCACCTGGCATGTATATTAAAGGATTTGCAGGTTTGTGCTCAGCTTGGTCCCTATCGCTGGTATGACAAACTCAAATTGCCATTCATCTGTCCATCTTTCTTGACCCAGTTCTATACCTAGCCTTTACAGCTTGACTCCATCCTGCAGCCCTGACTGAAACCAGGGACCCTCCAGCTTAGCATCGTGCATGCCTATTAATCTTCTCTAACCACTGGTAGTGAATTCTCCGCTGTCTCCAGGGAAGCCACTGTAGACTCTGCTGCAGCATCATTAACCTTTGTGTAGCCATTCAAAAACCTACACACACACACACACACACACACACACACACACACTTTTAAAAATGGTTTGTGCATACAGATACTATATCACATCATTCTATTTTGAAATACCTATGCTTGTTTCTACATAGACATGTAAATGTTAAAAAATAGAGAGGACTGATAATAAGTAATGGTGGCTGTGGAGAATGGAAACTTTCTCACACTGCTCTTTACATTGTAGTGTATATAACTTGGAACAGGACAAGTCCAACACTTAATAAAGCTGGAAAGCTTCTCCATCAATTAGAGCCCAAGCCAGACACAGAAACTGTATCAGTTGTTTTAACACAGAGAACCTACTTCAAATGATTGACTGCTATTAAACTGTTAACCACACAGTCAAAAGAGAACGTTTAGGATATCAGGGAGGTAGCAACTGCAGAAAGCAGCCGGACAAGGGCAGTAATGTCATGGAGGTGAGTGGTACAGAGTTCCCTTTGTAGGTTCGTGGTCTCATCAATAAAAGAACTTAAAAAGACACAGAAAGGACTCAAAGACAATTTATTGCAGTCTTAGGGGAAAACACAGCAAACAAGCTGGAGATCTTAGCAGCTGACAGGAAACTGGAAGAGGGAAAGGAGAAAGCTACCCTTTTAACAGAGCACAAAGGGGACACGTTGCAGAAAACAAATGGAGTGAATGGGGTCACTTATAACATTATCCTAAATTGAAGCCTTGGTGAGAGAATATATTAGAGATTTGTGCCCTTCCCTTCTCCTGTGAAAACAAGAGTCCTAAAACAATGGACCCCCAAGAGCTGAGTAGAGGGACAGACTAAAGGGCACTGGCATGCAAACACCGGAGGAGGAGCTTGCCTTTGGGAAAGAGATTTCCAATAGCTTTGAGAGCTTACTTCAGTTAACACATGAGTAGCTTCTAGCTTTTGTTTCATTTCTTCTACAAAACTACAACGATGCTACAGGAAGGGTGGAAGGAAACTAGGAGTCTTTCTTGCTATGGGATTTGCTCAAACATTTAATAAATCCATTTCCTTTACCAATCTCTAATGTCTTTTTTAAATGCATGCAAACCAAGGCAGCAGGTTTAAGACCCACAGTGCCCAGCAACACTTTGTTCTTTGTCATTTTTACTGAAGGGGCACAAGCTGCCATCCTTTCAAGATGCCTTCTGCAGCATTGATGCAGGCCGGAGGAGCTCGGTCCTGCCTCAGCTTACCGTGTTTGGTGATTCCCATGGAAGGCCTTAGCACATCTGAATGGAGAACTGAGGAGGAGTGGATGGGGGGAGGGATGGAGGTGGGAGAGGGAGCAGTAGGAGAGGAGGGAGGGGGGAAAAGAAAATGGTTTTCCTCAAAAAGAAAAAGATGACATAGGCCTTGGGCTTGAAGGCAGAGCTCTACCCTTTGGAGCCAACCAAGGAGAAAATGTTTAACCTCAATATCACTTGAGTTAACCTTATAGTCAGCTAAGAGTTGCTCTTGGTGACCTAGAATTCAGGGCATTTCTTTCTAAAATAAGAATAACTACATGTGTTTTGCCAGTTTATCATCTAGTTTTGTTAGTTTTGGCCAAAGAAGGACTAAATACCTATCAGTGTCTAATTCTGTTCTGGTTTCATTAGCTTTGGAGCAGTTTAAAGCCCTGCCTGTCACTTCAACCTTGCAATTCATTACAAGCAGCTTATGGACTGCTAACCCTCATTGAAAGGCCAGCGCTAGTTGATTGTTTTTGTACACACGTGGAAAGCCAGTGCTTGAAAATGAATGACAAACACCTTAGAGATTTTTCTATGAAAATCTCTATGAGTTCAAGTACAGACTGGTCTATATCATAAGATCCAGACCAGCCAGGATTACATAGTGAGACCCTGTCTCCAAAAAATAATGTTTTAAATGCTTTATTTGCTGGGCAATTATTGACCATTGACCATTTTAGCAGAGAAAGTTAACATGTTCTTGTGTCTGAAATGGTTCCTGCAAAGTAGATGCTGCAGAGAGTCCTTTTCTTTCTCTTTATTCTTGCCTAGTATCTGTTATTTAAAAGTACAAGGAACATGCTTATAATACCAAGACTTGGAAGGGAAATAGCTATAGGAAGATCATGAGTTCTAGGCCAGCCTGGGCTATAAAATGAGACCTATCTTTAATTAAACAAACTATAATTAGAAGGGTATGAGAGGGGTCCCACATAATTAGGGCTCACAGGCTTAAGAAGGTGACATTATCCAGCTGATTCTTATCTCAAGAAGATGCAATACCACAAGGCTGGTTCAGAGTTGAGCATTCAACTTAACTTCCATCAGGAACTCTGCTGCCCTGTGTAGAAGTGATTCTGGGAAAATATTTCAATGAACAGGGAGCTCCTGGGAAGGGGAAGAGATCAAGTCCCTTCGTCATTAGCCCAAAGCATACATATAGTATCTTTTTCCTCTTTTTTTCAAGACAGGGTTTCTCTGTGTAGCTCTGGCTGTCCTGGGTTTTGTAGACCAGGCTAGCATCAAACTCAGAGATCTGCATGCCTTTGTCTCCTGAGTGCTGGGATTAAAGGCATGTGCCACCACTGCCCAGCTATATCTAGACACTTGTTACCCAAGTCCCAACAGAGAGCAGTTGACAGAGCAGAGTATGTTTCAGAGAAACAAAGCACAATCTAGATGGACAAGCTTCCGGCAAGAACAGAATAGTTTCATAACTGGCACAAGACCTATAGCTACCAAAAGGGACAGATTTTAGGGAGGTAACGTCACTTGAAAAGAAGTCAATTGCTAAGCTTTTACCTACAGTGTGACACCATTTCTGTAAAAATTTAACAAGACAATATAGTAATTATTATACATTGCAGGCTCCATACTATTCCAAAAAATCTCAGAGTAGATTTAAATCCAAAATGTTTATAAGCAATCTTCACTTTGGGGGAAGTGTACATAAATATTACTACCTTAAAACAGACAATAACAGAAACATAAAACTTTAGCACAAGAAAAGAGTTAACAAAATTGAAAACCTAGCTGAGTAGTCTGAGAGGAGATGTTTTAACACATGAATGAAGGGCTTTATATGCTTACACGTTAAACAATAACACCACCAACAACGTTTAAACCAGAGAGTAAAAGATAAAGTTCTCATTAGGAAACAGTGAGCAAAAGATATGAGTAATCCGTGCAGATAAAATATTCATATAGCTAATCATCACACAGTATGTTCAACTTCCTCACTAAATGGAGAAATACAACTGAAAACAGTCACAGACTGTTTGCCCACCTGTTGGTGATGCACTCAGAAGACTATGGCAAAGGTTCAAGGTCAGCCTGGGCTACAAAGTGTTCCCCCTCAAAGTCAAGCAATAATGAGCTATTCCCTAAAGGGATCAGACACATTTTTATACTAGTCTAAGTACCACACAGTGGCAAGTGTGCTTTGCAAGATTTGCTTGATTAGATGCCCAGTGTAGGGAATAAGAGAGTCTTCAGGAAGAAGCTTTCTCCAATGCACAAAGCAAGGATCGGCCCAAGTGGGTTCTCTGGTGCTCTGTGACGTGAGCTTTATGACAGAAACCCTTTCCACATTCCTGGCTTTCAAAAGGCCTGTCTCCTGTGTGAATTCGCTGATGCTCAATGAGGCGCACTTTCGCATAAAAGGCATTTCCACACTCACTACATTCATAAGGCTTCTCACTAGTGTGAGTTCTCTTAGGTTGATGACGGCATTTCTTCATGCTAAAGATCTTCCCACAGTCGCTACATTCATAGGGCTTCTCTCCAGAATGAACACACGGATGTTCAATGAGACGAGCTTTCACACAGAAAGCATTTCCACACTCATTACTTTCATAGGGCTTCTCTCCGGTATGGATACTCTGATGGATTCCCAGAGATGAGTGTACCCTGAAAGCCTTCCCACATTCATTATAATGATAGGGCTTTTCACCTGTGGGGGTTCTCTGATGATTTTGGAGAGTCATTTTCATTCAGAAGAATTTCCCACATTCTCCACACTCATAAGGTTTCTCACCTGTGTGAATTCTTTGATGTTGGTTTAGGGATTTCTTTGCCCTGAAGTTTTTCCCACAGTCCCCACATTCATAGGGATTTCCCCCCATGTGAGTTCTCAGGTACTGGATGGGCAACATCTTAACACGAAATGTCTTCCCACAATCATTGCATTTATAAGGCCTCTCACCAGTGTGGGTTCTCTGGTGGATTGTGAGGGTCACCTTCTCAGAAAACCTTTTCCCACATTCAGTAAATTTATAGGGCCTCTCTCCAGTATGTGCTCTGCAATGTACAATGAGTTGGGACTTCCTGCCAAAAGATTTCCCACATTCATGATATTCAAAGGGCTTCTCTCCTGTGTGCGTTTTCTGATGAGCAATGAGGTGTGATACCTTGCACTGAAAGTCTTTGTACATTCACCACACTCATAGGGCCTCTCCCCCATACATGTTCTCAGGTGTTCAACAAGGTTAGATTTCCTGCAGTACACCTTACCACACTCATGGCATTCAAAGTTTTTATCTCTGGCATGAGTACTTCTATGGTTTGTTTGTTTTGTTTTGTTTTTTTTTTGGTTTTTACAAGACAGGGTTTCTCTGTATTGTTTTGGAGGCTATCAGTCCAGCCCGGCCTGGAACTCACAGAGATCCGCCTGCCTCTGCCTCCCGAGTGCTGGGATTAAAGGCGTGCGCCACCACCGCCCGGCTCTTCTATGTTGAACATAGTCTGTTTCTTCATGAATGTCTTCCCCACACTGAATACTCTGATACTGAAAAATGTTGTTCTCCAGCACAAGGGCATCACCCCTAACTGAACTGTTGTCACTTAACAGAGACAGAGATCCTGTAAAAACAATAAGTGTGTCACTCACTCATGTAAAGTCCCCAAATGGCTTTCCCTGTCACAATATAAAATACTTAACATAGTCTTTACAATGCTATCATTTGCAGCTAGACACAGTATTACACACCAGTACTCCCAGTCATTGGGAGACTGAAGCAGAAGGATCATGAGTTTCAGGACAACTTGGGCTGAACAGCGAGACCTATCTCAGAAAAACAACGAAAAAAAAAAAAGAAATCCACCTACAATTTGGCCCCTTGCTAATTCACAGACCTCTTCACCAGTCCCTGGATACATTTCTCAACTAAGAATCAGCATTCACAGTTCTCTGCCCAGAACACACCAAATCTACATAGCTCTGTCTCTCACTTCACTGACATATGCACACTAACGTTATCTCACCAAAAACCTTCCTTGGATATAGTCCCTAAAGTACACACAAATGGATGTATTTCTTAACTTGGATTGCTTTTCTTTGTATCATCCAGAACACTCCATATTTGTTTGTTTCTGGGTGCTTTTCCTCACTAGATTGCAGGCTCCAAGAAAACAGAGACATAATGCATTCACTGCTGGACCCCAGCACCTAGACCAGAATATATTCTACACTATTTTAAGTTTTGGCAGATAACTAAGTGAATATATGAACAGATGGCTGACATCAGAAGACATCAACATCAATGAAGAAACAAAAGAATAGATTTCTGACATGAGGCAGAGCTCAGTAAATACAGCAGAAAGCATTATAAACATCAAAATACATGAGTACTGAAATGTAAGTATAATATTGGGGTAGGTAATTAAGTTTTCTGCAGCTTGAAAACCTCTCATCCTTACTTCAAAGAGCCCAAGGCTCTAAAAAGACCCCTAAAATATTACATAATGATGCCCTTTTACCTAAATTCCTTGGGAATGGCTTACCATGTGTTCAATGTTTCTGGTTCTTGCCCACACACCTGAGTAATCATAACCTGAGGATTCCTCTTCTAATATCCAGAGTTCTTCTCCCCACTCTAACTTGAAGATCATGTCTGGTTTGGCCACACAGAGGCCTGTTAATGGAAAATGGCACAGGTCATGAGTCAAGAGGTTTGAGCATTAGAGCATCTGATGGAGGAGGAGGAAAGTGAATCTTCATGAGCTGCACAAGGAAAGGGTCCACTTAAACCTTACATTTGGGGACACGAGAACACACATTCTTTCTGGAGCCCTAAAACTGCTCATTTAGCTGTAACCTGAACTTCTAAAACTGTCACTAAACTTCAGTGGTGGCACAAATGACAATAACCACATGCTCCCAGGGGTTACCCATACACACTCATCCTCACCCACAGATGCCAAGTGACTGTAGGTCTCCAGCATCACATCCTTGTGCGTGTTCTCTGGGTAGAGCCCAGTCTGTGCCACTCTTGTTGGGTGAAATCCACAGCTACATCCTCGAAGGACACAGATCCCTATAATGACAGTCTACAGTGATCAGAGCAGGGCACATGAGAAATATTAATCTTCTCAATGCAACCGCATTGGGACCTGAATGGAAAGAGCCATGCTGGATACCTTGGTCCATGTCTTACTTGATACTGTACTTTAGAAAAGAATCCCGAAAAACTCTGTCACCATGTTAATTTACTAATTATTAGACTGACAGTGGCACCCAGTACTTAGGAGGAGGTGGGAAGACCAGAACCATCCTTGGCTACATAGCAAGTTTCAGGTCAGTGTGGGCTACAGGAAACCTTTCAAAGAAAACAAATCTAAACACACACACACACACACACACACACACACACACACACACACACATATATATATATATATGTATATATATGGGCTGTGGCTTGAACTTGGAGCCTTACATACCATAGGACTATTATTTTGTTTATACAAACTTACTTGATACTATGTGATAATTTGATATATATACATATATATATATATAGTGTGTGTGTGTGTGTGTGTGTGTGTGGCTGTAAATAAGTTTGTATAAAGAAAGAGGGTTGGGGGGCTTGAGAGATGGCTCAGCAGTTAAGACCACTGACTGTTCTTCCAGAGGTCCTGAGTTCAATTCCCGGCAACCGCAAGGTGGCTAACAACCACCTTGAATGAGATCTGGTGCCCTCTGCTGGCATGCAGGCAGAAGACTGTATAGACAATAAATAAATAAATAAATAAATAAATAAATAAATAAAATATTTTTAAAAAAAGAAAGAGGGTTGGCAGCTGGGCGCTGGTGGCACACGCCTTTAATCTCAGCACTCGGGAGAAAGAGGCAGGCGGATCTCTGTGAGTTCAAGGCCAGCCTGGTCTACAGAGCGAGTTCCAGGACAGCCTCCAAAACAATACAGAGAAACCCTGTCTCAAAAAACCAAAGAAAGAAAGAAAGAAAGAAAGGAAGAAAGAAAGAAAGAAAGAAAGAAAGAAAGAAAGAAAGAAAGAAAGAAAGAAAGAAAGAAAGAGAGTTGCAAGATTGCTCAGTGGGTAAGGGCCTTTGCTACCAAACATAATAAACTGAGTTCATTCCCTCAATTCAACAGAAAAGGAGAGAACCAACTCCCACAGGTTGTCCTCTTGACTTCTACATATACACCATGGCAACACACACACACACACACACACACAGACACACACACACACTAAAAATTATGGACATATATAAAGTTAGCCACCAAGTATAGTGGCACACTCCTGTAATCCTAGCACTGAAGAGGCAAAGACAAAAGGATAATGAGTTCTAGGCCAGCTTGGGCTGTATAGCAAGACTTGGATGCAAAAAAAAAATGAAAAATCAGAAAGGTCTGAGGATGTAGCTCAATAGTAAGACACTTTCCTGGAATGTAGAAGACCCTAGGTTTGATCCCAGAAATGTAATATAAATCATATATGTGTATATATAATGTATAAACAAAGATTATGAGCTTGAGACCAGCCTGAGCTACAGAATTCTAGGCTTACCTGTACTATACACAGAGACTCGAAGAAAATGTTGGGTATAGTCTCCCACAACTGTAATTCTACCACTTGTAAGTGAAAACATCAGGAGTTCAAAGCTAGTCTCTACTACATAGAGACCTTACCTCAAAACAATACTAATACCCTGGGACTATGGGGCAAGATCACAAGACACAAGTTTTGAACACACAAGGTAAATTTGCTGAATCATATACAGTACAGTATGACAAGAAAATTGTGCTATGGATCTGGGATGTGGCTTGCCTAAATGCAGAAAACCATGGGTTCAATCACCAGTGCTGCATAAAACAATTGTGGGGTGCATATCTGTAATCCTAGCATATCTGTAAACCTCAGGAGGCAGAGGCAAGAAAATTAGAAGTCCAAAGTTGTCCTCAGTTAAATACCAAGTTTCAGAACTGCAAAAAAAATTTTTAAAGAAAGATTACCATCAAATTATATTTGGGTGTCTGCTATATAATCTTCCACTACATACTCTTCTCTCTATTAATATACTCCCAGCCTCTATTAATCACTATTGTACATTCCAATTAACATTTATAACATCCACATGTAAAGGAATTTTTACATTTGTCTTATTTACCTAACATAATGTCCTTCAGTTCCACCCACTTTACTGTAAATGACAGTCTTCTTGGCACTCTAGCTCAAGTAGTCTACTGCTCCTTGCACTGTGCCACAGAAACAACTAAAACATTCTTTAGCCAATGAATGACTAAAATGTATTCTATCCACACTATGGAATACTATTTAGAAATAAGAATGAACAAACTGTTGTGTCACATACAGCAATCTGGGTGAAGCTATGGAGAATTATGCAGAGTGAAAATAGTGAATCCCCAAAAAGCATAAAGTGCATGGTGTGATTATATAATATTCTTGATATGATGCAACTGTACTGTACTGTATTAGACAACATACTAATGTGATGGGGGAAGTCCTTCTGTGTATATGTTTTGTCTTATTGGTTGATAAATAAAGCACTGCTGGGCAACAGTGAAGCAAGATAAGTGGAACTAGGAGTCGAGGAGGATTCTGGGAAATGTAGTAAAGGGTAGAGAGTCACCATGAAGGATGTGAGAGGAGTAAGAGGTCCAGACCCTTTCTCAGGTAAGAGAAGACCACATGAGATAGACAAGAAGAAGCCATAGCAAATGACCAACAGCTTCATAATTAATATAGCACCCTGCATGTTCATTTGGGACTGACACAGCTCTGGGACCAGGCTGGTGGGAAGAATGCTCATTACACTAATGACTGCCATGAATTAAGACACAAAAAGGAAATTGGCTTGGCTTTTAAAGGTAAAATAAGAGACACAGGTGCAGTTCAATAATAAAGTATTTGCATAGGCTTCACAAGGCCCTGATTCCGTCCCCAACGATGGAAAAAAGAGGAGAGATCCTTGTGGCCATAGAAATGTTCTGTGTGTGAGAATCCAAGAAATGATCCACAAAGGTTTCACAGGATTACCACTGGGGAAAACTGTAAACCACACACTGCCGCTGAATCTATAATTGCTTCAAAAGACACATATTCAGATATGGTGGCACACACTTGTGATCAATGGAGACTGAAGCAAGAGTAATGCCATGATTACAAGTCAGCCAAAGCTACATAGCAAGACCCTGTCTCCAAAAGCCCCATACAGAGTATTCTCCATTGCAGCCCCTCCTACCCTTGGGAGTTCTTTTTCACTTTTCCTTAATAAATCTATGCTGAACTCTGTAGCAAGCTTCCTTGTCGGACTATCTTTGGGCTGCCAGCCTGAAAATAATAACCCAGAAACTTATTATTATGAAAGCTTGGTCTTTAGGTTAGGCTTGTCTCAACAAGGCGTTACCTCTCTTCCATCTTGCATCTCCTGTTTTCTCTCTGCATCTTCTGGCAAATCCACCTTTCTTCTTCCCAGAGCTCTCTCTGTGTTGGAAGTCCTGCCTATACCTCCTGCCTAGCTATTGGCTATTCAGCTTTTATTACACCAATCACAGCAATACATTTTCACATAGTGTACAAATATCCCACAATATTTTCCCCTTTTTGTCTAAATAAAAAGGAAAAATTTTAACTCTAACATAGTAAAACGATATACAAAAAGAAAAATGATCACATAAGAATTTCATTCACAATGTCTAGTCCATTTGCATTTGGCAAATTCAGAGAAATGCTCCATTATCTATCCTATCTTGGTGAGTCCAAACTTTTGTATATAATTCACTTCCTGTCGGGCAGTGGTGGCGCACGCCTTTAATCCCAGCACTCGGGAGGCAGAGGCATGCAGATCTCTGTGAGTTCAAGGCCAGGCTGGACCGACAGGCTCCAAAACAATACAGAGAAACCCTGTCTCGTAAAAACCAAAAAAAAAAAATTCACTTCCTTTTTTGGTTTTTTGAGACAGGGTTTTTCTGTATTGCTTTGGAGCCTGTCCTGGAACTAGCTCTGTAGACCAGGCCGGCTTCGAACTCACAGAAATTAGCCTGTCTCTGCCTCCTGAGTGCTGGGGATGAAAAGCATGCACCACCACCACCTGACCTAATTCACTTTCTATCATATCTTGTATTACCAGCCTAAAAATATTCTTTTAGACCTTGAAATATTTTCTTAAACTTAAGCTTTTATGACTCTCAACCTTCTACATGTTGTATTTCTTTTGTGATTTTTTTCTGAATTTGGTTAACAAGGAAAACTGCAGCTATAACTATCTCATCTTCAACCCCATCAGAGACCCAAGAAAGAAATAATATTAACTGAGTAAACACAAAGTATAGAACAAGCAACTTCAAAACTATAGAAATGACAGAAGTAGTTGGTTTCCTGAGCAGTAACCCAAGGTTCCTTTGTAACATTGGGGTATCCATCTTCAACATACAGGCCTAAAATATCTAACAGACTTTTCTGTGAAGCAGAAATTTTGAAGGGCTATCCTACCTTGTCTTGGCCAAGTTTGGAAGTTGTGTGTGTGTGTGTGTGTGTGTGTGTGTGTGTGTTCTCCTAGTCCAATTTGGACAGCATACTGTCAGTAGTCAAGGGAGGGGCAGTTTCTTGCCCAATGGCTAACTCTGCCACAATAAAAGTAAACTAGCAAACTCCATATGAAGGTTCATCAATGCCCATCATCCTTTTTTGAAGTAAATTGGTGCTGCCAGGGGCAGATGTGTCTCACTGTCATAAAAATCCTTATGTTATTAAAAACATCTTAAATGCTATACTCTATAGGTCTCTGAAGTTTTTGAAGACCATCCATCTATCTAAAATATATGTTTGACCTTGAAAACATATCTAATATAACTATAAGTTTGATTGTTATAGATGACCAACCACTAACCTGTGTTTCTTTATTATCCTAAATACCTTTCAAAGACTAGAACTTTATATTACATTTTTAAATGAGCTCTATAGGTACAATATCTTAAACTAGAGTAGAAACACATAGACAACATAACAAAAATAATCTTAAATTTGTATCAATATACAAAAATACCTT